CATTTTCTGATTTCCATTTGTTTTCTTCATTGGCTTTTGTCGAGAAGTTTGCTTCAGTCCTTTTAGCTTTCCACGGTATTTTCACAATCCTTCTAAGAAACCACCTGTGGGTTGCCTCTAATAGTGATTCCACACTTTTGCATTATTGTATTGTGCCCACCAACTGATGTCACAAGTATGAATACTATTAGAGTGATCTTATTGTCAAGCAAGAATAAATTGATTACCAGCAATCATTTATATCATCTGCGCGCATCGCTTTATCGAATGATGTTATTTACTATCCAAAACATAACGGTGTATGAAAAAAAGAACAATAGCGATATTACATTACCTATTGAGAATTTCTGTTGACATCTTTCAGAAATTAGCTGTTGGACAAAGATGTGTTGGTAGTAGTCTGTGGAATACCTGTCATTTTGATTCATCGCATCAGCTCAAAACTTCACTCTACCACTGTGTTTATTTTTCAAAATCCTCTTTCGAATGAAAGTATGCTACCAAGTAATTTGCAAAATCATTCGGAAACTGTTCATATGAGCGAAAGCTGAAAATCTGTGGATTTTTCCGAAAGTTGCAGGATAGTTTCCTAAACAGACTGACTTTGAAGATAATGGTTTCTGACAGGGCAAGAAGTGGCGAATGGATTTACGGCGTCCTATAAAATCAGCGAATGGATTGCCAAAATTTGCAGTCCACATAACGTTCGATAAAATATTATCTTGCCTTCAGTATCAATAATACTGTCTGACTTGATCAATACGTATCTACAAGAATCAGTTCAATCCACTCCGTTTAGCAATTCGACTGTATGTAAGCGAATAGATGAGATGGCTCAGTACATAGAAAGTCCCTTAGTTAATGTACTACTGTCGAGGAACGTTCGTTACAAGTAGATGAATCTACTTTACCTGACAAGGACACTCTCCTCATGGCATATGTCCGATTCTTCAGTGGTCATGAATTAATGGAAGATTGTGTTCTCCAGAAGCATTGTGACTCATGCAGAGCCATTCTATAGTTGTGGTGGTCAAAAGCTATCTAACTGTAAACTCCATCACAATACCCTGACAGTTTCTAAATGCTATGTCGTACATAGCTACTGTTAGTGGACGTCGTGTCTTTCGGGGCCAACCCTGTCCTCTGCAACGTTCGTAACTTGCATGGCAGTGGAGGATAAGACGCGCTATATCGCAGTTAGCTTGTAAATCACGACGGTCCGAAGCTGTCCCCCGTGGCCCAGTGGCATAAGCTGCTGACTGGCGGTTCAATCCGCTGGTGGTCATGGGTTCGAATCCTAATGGATCCGATGGATGCGCACTACTGATGATGCCCAACAGGCTGAAACTGCAGTCTAGTGCTTTTCCGGGCATGTGGACGACTATGCGATTTGGAAACTGACTGCGAAGAACCTCACTTAAATACGGAACATAGTTTCACGTGCAACATATGGTGCTACCGCAAAAGATTCATTGCCCATCTAAAACGTTTCTTCTTTTGTTGTTGCAATTCACTATATGATTCCATCTGTAACCCAAATTCTCGTGCGGCCGCACTTCAACTCGGCTCTCGCTTTGTCCTCTGTGGTCACTCTAATTTTCCCCACACAATATTGCGCGTACGCTCATTCGAACCAGTTCGACGAGATGTACTCAGTGCTTCCTAACTCTTGGATATAACCTGTGTGGTTTATACTCTTGCTCCAGTTCCCAGTTTTTGGCATATTCTTTGCCGAATTCCATTTGTGTAACTACATCAAACGGCATTTGGGAAATTGTACAGTGAACAGTTACGGTCTACTAACTGCAATTTTGAATGCAGGCTGAATCATCCCTTGGCGCGGTGTGACAAATCCACTGGGAATCTGTTAGTAAGGTGTACTTCATTAGACCAGTTAACCACGTTGTTTTGTAGGGTGCAAACTGTCTACGCATATACGAGTGAACTCGGCGACACAGGGTGATAGCTAAGATAATGTTGAGAAGTGATGTCTGCACAGACTTGTTTTCCTGGCAGCGAGACAGTGGATAGGGATTATTTGTCTCTAATTTCCAATAAACAAGTTGACCTAACTGACGAGGTTAGAGTCTTTTCTTATTACTGACACAAATGTCCAACTGGATTACTGAGGAAGTGGGGTCGAAATTGGTCTGTGGTCTCTCATCAAAGTCCAGTATGAGTCAACTCTTTAGCTGAGTTCACACTTTTGGCTGCATCTGATTCACCCACCTGCACTCAACGGTAACAGGCATGTCGTCACCCACACATTTGATGAAGCAACTGTGCCTCAAGCGAATAAATGTGATGGTACCAACTGCAGTTTGCAATGTACTCAGAGGATTAATCATAATCAAATTTTCCGGAAAGAGCTGTGATAAGCACTTTTCCTGTCGCATAAAAATCATAACATGATGAGTCAAAGGAAGTTGATCAGCTCATTGTCCGTTTCCGCCCATCATCACAAAGATCCCTTGATTGGGGATAGCAGTAAATACTCACACGGTAGACAGAAAACACTGGAAAGCTATTAGAATCCTTTGCTCCTAAAAGCTAGTGTGAAGATCAACTGACTATATGAAAGATTTAGAGTGTGTATTTATGGTGTTATCTAAGTTGGATTATTATCCTGACTAGGAAACAAATGGAGATAAGCAATTTAATGTGATCTTAAAAGATTGCAGAATTAAGATAGAGACAACGGTGCAACTCACAGCGACAAACATATTTTGTTAGCGCGCTTGTTTTCTACGAAGAAACTTAATTTGGAATTTCTACCGCAAGTTCGGTATACTTCCGCTAAACCGCTTACGAATGTCATATATCATTTGCGCCGTTTACTGCGAAATTATGGTTGGAAATTATAAACAAAATCTTATGTTCGCTGTGGCTGAATTTTAAAATTGGGTTTTTTAAAACACACTTGTTGAACAATTATGAATTTGAGGCGAGTTTTATAAAGAGGGAAATAAGTTTATGGGTTCTGGAAATGTTGTAGTAATTGTTCACCTAAAATGGAAATAAAGTTCTGTTGGTCTAATTTTAAGAAATTTTAGTGACAATATGCAACCAGGGTAGAGAGACATTAACCGCAAATATTGTGCTATGATCACGGATTTTCCTGTCCATAAGGAGCATTGTATACCGGAAAGTATGAATATTATGGAAAAACATGGAGAGTCTTCCTCAGTATGTTACTGTAATGATATAACTATTATTCTCTTGTACTGCTATAACTAATGAAATTTTTTGGGCGTTTCTAAATTAGGAACGATGTTAGTCCCCAGTTTGATATTACTTGCTCTCACGTTTGTAAGTAGGGACCTGTCCTTTACAAGCACGTATTATTAAACCGGTTAGCAGGTTAAAAATATTCCTATAATATAACCGATGTTTCATGGGTTCCATTTGGAAAGGGAAGACTCTGAGTATCGGTTTACGAACTTTAATATTGCAGTTCGCCCAGATATTTCATTAGATCTATGAACCTTTTTGCATTCGTTGTTTGTTTGATAGTTATTCGCAACTAATTCTTCCATACCTGAATGAAGTTGAATGGTGGATACGATAATCAACTCTAACAGCCTTACCTGTTATTGGAAACTTATGGAATTTGGAACGGAACGTTTCCCGTAACCATACTATAGAATGAACGGAGCGGCAAGAAATCGCAGTCGTTGTTACACATGGTCACGGTTAAAAGCGGTCTAACAAGTGTGCACATATCGGCCACATTTCCATCGTATAACGTCAAATACTTGAGAAACATAAACCTATGCCATTCATGCATCGTTTTGCTCCAACTTGATAGGTATTGGTTGAAGGTTAGACTCGTGTATTTGCTTCTTAAAATTGCATTCTGACCAGCCTAGAGTTGCTCTAAGGCTCTTGATTTGCTTGACCGTAATTGGGTTACTGTGCTCACAGTCACTCCTGGATGCACTGACAAAGGCTTTTCAACCCGATTTGATGGACTTTCAACGAATACCGTCTCCCTTCTCCTTGACTCATGCCCATTAGCAATCTTCGCTAACGAACAGCTCTCCTCGTAATCTTACGGGCTTGCGTTGCACTGTCAGACCTCATTAACGAAAGCTATGCAACTTTCGGTCCACCATCCTTCTTGGGATATTCCGGTCTTTCGATAACCGTTAACTTCCGCGCAGCTACAATATGAAATTGGGGAACTGGCAGAGGATAGAAGCAAAATTAGTGATTCCTAATCCAGCTGAAAAAGTACAAACTTGGAGAAAGTAATGTTTGTCGACAAATGGGATTTGCATTGACAGGCTTGTCCAGAAGAGAAGAGTGTAATTTGGGGTTGAACTACATATCAACACTCATAGTAATACTTCCGCGATCTAACTGAAAGGAGCAGATGCCGGGCCATCAAATTTGGCCTCCCCTCTACATATTCGTCTTACAAGGAATTACCGACATGTTTTCCGCGGTACTTTTTAGGAAACTCTTGTTTAAGTCACCTACTCTCAATTTCTGAAATCAGT